TAGAACAAAAGAAACAAACTCAAGAAAACAAATGTTTCTTTTGCAATAAGAATAGACACGTAAAGAAGAAATGCGCTAAATATCATGCTTGGCGTGAAAATAAAGGGTTGCCTAAACTACCGGAAGCCAATTGATTTTGAAAGATGAATTTATGTTGGAGATGGAAAATCGGTAGAGGTGGAAGCTATAGGGCATTTTAAATTGTTATTGAGTACTTTTTTTTTATTTGGATTTGAAAGACACTTTTGTTGTGCCGTCATTTTGACGGAATTTGGTTTCAGTTTCTTATTTGGACAAATTAGGTTATTTGTGTTCATTTGGAAACAATAAGTTCAGTTTGTCTTTTAATTCAGATATTGTTGGAACTGCTTCACTTTTGACTTATGATAATCAGTATTTACTTGATATTGTGGTCACCTATAATGAAACCCTTAATACAGAATCACGTGGTACTAAACATAAAATTGAAAATACTCACTCAGGTGCATTATGGCACAAGTGCTCAGGTCACAATCAAATCGTGACTTTTGGGCTTGTGTTACACGCTTAAAGATATGGTAAAGAGTATCACTTGTCATTCCACCTTACTGGAATCACTTTGGGGAGAAACACTAAATACGACAAATTATATTCTAAACAGAACACCAACTAAAGCAGCTACCAAAACACCTTATGAGCTTTGGATTGGGCGACAACTTAGTCTGAAACATTTCCATGTGTGGGATTGTCCAGCTGAGGCAATACCTTTTAAGCCAAATGAAAAGAAATTGGACTCCCGAACAGTAAGTAGTTATTTTATTGGTTATGCTGAAAGATCCAGGGGATATAAATTTTATAATCCCACATTAAAGACAATTTTTGAGACGGAAACTTGTACGTTCTTTGATGATATTGAGTTTTGGGGGAAGAATAAAATCAGGAACTTTGCCTTGGAGGAAGAATCGGTAACAATTCTAGAACCGATTCAAACATTTACTTTTGATAAAGTAAGTTCGGAACCTCCACAAGGCATTGTTAATGAACCCCTTACTCAAGATGATTTAGTTGTTCATGAAGAACTAACTCAAGATCCTCAAGAACCTGTGCATCATGAGCCAATAACTTTGCGGAGATCCACTAGAGAAAGAAGAAGTGCTATTTCGGATGATTACATGGTATTTCTTCAGGAACATGAGGAAAATAATGATAGAATGGAAGATGAACCAATTACATTCCGTCAAGCTATGTAAGGTTCTAACTCTGAAAAGTGGATTGAAGCAATGAAGGAGGAGTATAAGTCCATGTAAGACAATAAGGTTTGGGAACTTGTCCCATTACCAGAAGGTATGAAACTCATTTGGCTTCAAGATGAATATTGTTGATGATTGTGTGTATCACAAGTTTAAAGGGAGACAAGTTTAGTCTCAATCAGTGCCCAAAGGGAAATTTGGAAATTGAGGAAATGCAAAAGATTTCCTATGCATCAGTTGTAGGGAGTTTGATCTTTGTCCAAGTATGTACGCATCCAGACATAGCATACATAGTTGGGGTTCTAGGCAGATATTTAAGCAATCCAGGAATAGAACATTGAAAAGCAGCAAAAAGAGTCATAAGATATTTAAAGAGAACAAAAGATTATATGCTCACATATACGAGGTCAGACCAGTTGGAGATCGCTGGGTTTTCTGATTCAGATTTTGCAGGATGTCAAAAATTTGTAGCATGTTATGAGGCATCAAATCATGGAATATGGATGAGAAATTTTGTCACAGGGCTGCAAATTGTGAAAGGCATTGAAAGACCACTTAAGTTATATTGTGACAATAAATCAGCTGTATTGTTAAGGAAAGAGTACAAAGTGGACTGATTTTCATAGAACACTTAAGGACAAACTCCATAATAGCATATCCTCTAACTAAAGGACTTCCACACAAGGTCTTTCATGAGCATGTTGCTCACATGGGTGTTTTACAGTTTGAGGAATTTGTGGTTTAGTGGGAGTTAGTCACTTTCATATATTTTATGTTCTATGTTTAATTTCATATATGTATACATTGATTTTTGGACATATTTGGTTATCTATATATATGCGGTTTTTTCGTTTATTCATTACACTTTGTACATTAAGGATATTATATCGATCTCGATAAGTTAAAGTTTGGACCAGTTGAAAATAAATGTGTACAGATCACCTTCACATAATTTTTCATGCTACACATTTCATGATGAATCCATGTCATTTGGTTATGTCAGGATGAGTAATCATTGTTGGTTTTAGTTGCGATGATGCAATGAAAAGCTGGTTTGATTCTATGTTCTTATATGATTAATGGACAGAACTTTTGGAGTATGCTAAAAGGAATATAATGACAATTTTGAGTTCATAAAGTCTAACACATTTGTAAGGTTGTAAGGACATATATATTTGTGACCAGTGGGAGATTGTTGGCAAAATTTGGGTCATGTATATATCTGATACATAATTTAAATGTGTTAGGGTTATTATTTATTAAGCCAAATAATAAAGTGATCTAACTAAATTAAAGTTTTTGCTAAAGGCATATGTCATGAAAATAAAATTGTGTAGAGACCATTGAGCAATTTCTAATTTGATGAGGGGCCAAATTGAAAATACTAAAACTTAAGTAATTAACCTAATTCTGGTTATTTTAAGGGGTCGTGGTCCCCTTCTGGGAGCACACACACAGAACGTAAGTATCAGTCTCGTTCCTTTCTTTCTATCCCCATCAAGAGAGAAAATCAATAGGGAAATACAGGTGCTCTTCAGGTGGAAGACCATAAGATCAATATAGTGCTCTACAAAGACATCATCATTATGGCTAATTCAGGTACGCTTTCGCATTCAGTTTACAGCATGTTTATCAGTACGGATTACGTTTATGTTTGATCGTTAGAATCAAAATCAGGATTATTATTATTATTATTATTAATTTTTCAACAGAAGGGACTCGAAGGATTTTGGGATTCATCCGTTGTGGATGTGTTCCCTGTTGTCATGAAGAAAAACAAAAAAAAATGAAAGACAAAAAAAGAAATAGAGAAGACGACCTAGCTTTAGCGGAAGCAAACGCCCTGGATACCATATTGGGTTTCCATTATTGCTATCCTCTTGATAACTCAAAAGATAGGAAAGAAGAAAACAAAGAGAGAGATATGAAAAAACTTTCTAATATTGGTATACATGGTTTATATATATAAAGTTTTTAGAAAACAGAAAAATTGACTATACACATAAAACGATAAAACCCAACATTAAGTGCGCGGTAGGTGCAGGTGGGCTTGTTAAGTGATAGTTTTCAGTTAGTGATAGTTTAGGAGTTTTAAGTGTAACGAGTGTAATTTACACATTGTAGTTGTATTACAATGCAATAATGAAATTTTAGAAATTGAAAATATCTATTTAAAGTTTTTATAAAACTATTTCTTCATTATATTATAGGAGTAATTGATTTATCATTTAATTATAATTAATCAATTAAAAAAACTGTAAAGAAATTAATTACGAGAAAATATTACAGGTTATTAATTATTAGAATTATATATATTTGAGTTATGATATTTCTACCTAATTGTTATTAAGAAATGCATATTTTATTTATTTTTGTAATTATTGAACAATTAAATTTTATTACTCGCCACACATATTTTATATCTTATTTTAAAACTAAGACATAATTTTCAATTAAATCTTTATCATATTACTATCGTAATTAAATCGTAATTATTTTTTTAATTGTAGTTTTTAGGATGTTTCCTTATTCATTGCAAAAAATAATAATAAATATTATTTTTGTACGCTCATAAGTTTTACATCATTTAATAGTTGAAACTAAGGATAATTTATATATAATTTCTTCACTTAATCCATCGAAACGTCTTTTAAGAACAAATCTATGATGGACTAAAGTTCATAAACGGACAATACCTCGAACCTGGAAATTGATTCTAACAATGTTATTAAAGCGAACATGAAGTTGAGACACTCTCACTCCTAAACAAATTATTGGCATCCACCGTGGGGCTCGGTAAAATAATCCTCACGATCTCTTCCATTCCATGGTCTTAACTAGAAGCCAAACAATATCAAATTCAAATGACGATATGAATCTCATAGTTATCCTCAACAACTTCAAAAAACATATGGACAAATGTCAACAAAGAAATCATGAGGACAATCATAGTTTTCTACTAAAATCATCCACAAACAAAACAAAATATATATTCTCTGTTGGCAAAATTTGGGTCATGTATATATATGATACATAATTTAAATGTGTTAGGGTCATTATTTATTAAGCCAAATAATAAAGTGATCTGACTAAATTAAAGTTTTGGCTAAAGACATATGTCATGAAAATAAAATTGTGTAGAGACCATTGAACAATTTCTAATTTGATGAGAGGCCAAATTGGAAATACTAAAACTTAAGTAATTAACCTAATTCTGGTTATTTTAAGGGGTCGTGGTCCCCTTCTGGGAGCACACAGACAGAACGTAGTTACAGTCCCGTTCTTTTCTTTCTATCCCCATCAAGAAAGAAAATTAAGAGGGAAATATAGGTGTTCTTCAGGCGGAAGACCTTAAGATCAAATCAAAAGTGCTCTACAAAGAATATCGTCATTATGGCCAATTCAGGTACGCTTTCGCATTTAGTTAATAACATGTTTACAGTATGGATTATAGATATATGTTTGATCATTAGAATGAATATCATATTCAATTACAAACATATTCAATTACAATTTATCCTAACAATTGGTATCAGAGCAACCCATACTTAATTCATGTTTGTTTTTGGAAATTACATTTAACAAAATTCAGATTCTGGCTAATTCAGAACCCTAAGTGGAGAATAATCTCCAATTTTTGTAAACCCTAAATTCAAATTTGGGGTAAAATCCTCAATTTTAAAACCTAATTTCGAATTTGAGGGTGAAACCCCCAAACTGCTTCTCCTCCTTCATGTCGTGGTCCTTCACAATGTGGATCTTGAACGATATATGCGCCTCCACGAGTGGCTGGGCCAAGTCGCTCGCCTTGGTTGCGGTGAAGTTGTCGAAATCATCTTCCAGCTTCCGCCGCGACTCCTCATCACCACCGGCGCCGCCCTCCTCCGCCATGCTCAGATCCGCCGACCCCCAGTCCGCGCCGTACAGGACGCTCGTGGGACGCACGTGCAGCAGGATGACCGTGTTCCCCGGTCAGAGGTAGTTCTGCACGGCCCACCGCACCGCGTGAGCGCTCTCGTCGCTCAGATCCATCGTGATCGCGATTCTCCGCTGCGAACCGGACGTAAGCGTGAACCGTGGATGAGGAACTTGATCGGGTGGTCAGCTAAGGCACCCTTGGCTGGGAAGCCCATGTGTCTGACAGTGAAAGAGTGAGAGCGTGAACCGTGGATGAGGAACTTGATCGGGTGGTCAGCTAAGGCACCCTTGGCTGGGAAGCCCATGTGTCTGACAGTGAAAGAGTGAGAGAGAAGGAAGAGAATTAATATTCCAGTAAATTAGCAACTAAAGAATTGGGTGCGTGTGGTGGTCCCAGGAGAATTAATATTCCAGTGTTAATTCTTGCGCAACATGAAAAATTATATATTTTATTAGTTACAATATTTGGTTTTGCTATATAATTTATATATTCAATTTTTGTGGGTAGTTTAATATTTTTGTGAACAAATTGAGTCAAGAAGTTACCAAAGTAACATTTTTGAATTGGGTAGTTCATGAAAAATATTGAATGTTAGTGTTTGTGTATATTCATGCGAGTATTAGTCGGCCCAAAGGAAGATTAATATTTGGCCGAATTGCATATACACTTGTAATGATAAACATGTGATAATTATAAGGATTTGCTTTGTCGATGATAAATCAATCCAAAGACTGGTTTGTTGTTAGACGTGTTTTATTGTCAATGTTTGATTATTACAACAATATACCTCTAGCAGTTAATATTACTGTCCAAAGACTTGATATTGATGGTGCATTGGGTGTCTTGAGATGGGTTAAACCATTATTTGAATATATATTTTATTTATAATTATTTATTTTTATAATGTGAGCATAATTAATTTATTTCTCTTGTTTTTTAATTCAGCTACAATTGTTTCTGTATCTGCCAATTTAAATTATGTTCCGATCCTCAAAAGTATGTCTCCTATTTTGGTCTGTTCTGAAGTCAATTTAGCGTCAGTACCTAGTAACACTTGGTGGTTAGACTCAGGTGCAACTACTAACATCAGTGTTTCTATAAAGGGTTGCCTAAGCTACCGGAAGCCAATTGATTCTGAAAGATGGATATATGTTGGAGATGGCAAATCGGTAGAGGTGGAAACTATAGGGCATTTTAAATTGTTATTAAGTACTGGTTTTTATTTGGATTTAAAAGACACTTTTGTTGTGCCGTCATTTAGATGAAATTTGGTTTCAGTTTCTTATCTGGACAAATTAGGTTATTTGTGTTCATTTGGAAACAATAAGTTCAGTTTGTCTTTTAATTCAGATATTGTTGGAACTGGTTCACTTTTGCCTTATGATAATTTGTATTTACTTGATACTGTGACCACCTATAATGAAACCATTAATACAGAATCACGGGGTACTAAACGTAAAATTGATGATACTCACTCAAGTGCATTATGGCACAAGTGCTCAGGTAACATCAAATTGTGACGTTTGGGCTTGTGTTACACTCTTAAAGATATGGTAAAGAGTATGATTTGTCATTCCACCTTACTGGAATCACTTTGGGGAGAGACACTAAATATGACAGCTTATATTCTAAACAGAGTACCAACTAAAGCAGCTACCAAAACATCTTATGAGCTTCGGATCAGGCGACGACCTAGTCTGAAGCATTTCCATGTGTGGGGATGTCCAGTTGAGGCAAGGCCTTATAAGCCAAATGAAAAGAAATTGGACTCCTGAACAGTAAGTAGTTATTTTATTGGTTATGCTGAAAGATCCAGGGGATATAAATTTTATGATCCCACATTAAAGACAATTTTTGAGACGAGAACTGTTACGTTCTTTGAGGATATTGAGTTTGGGGGGAAGAATAAAATCAGGAACTTTGTCTTGGAGGAAGAATCGGTAACAATTCCAGAACCGATTCAAATAGTTACTTTTGATAAAGTAAGTTCGGAACCTCCACAAGGCATTGTTGATGAACCCCTCACTCAAGATGATTTGGTTGTTCATGAAGAACAAACTCAAGATCCTCACGAACCTGTGCATCATGAGCTAATAACTTTGCAGAGATCCACTAGAGAAAGAAGAAGTGCTATTTCGGATGATTACATGGTATTTCTTCAGGAACATGTGGAAAATAATGGTATGATGGAAGATGACCCAGTTAACTTCTGTCAAGCCATGCAAGATTCTAACTCTGAAAAGTGGATCGAAGCAATGAAGGAGGAGTATAAGTCCATGCAAGACAACAAGGTTTGGGAACTTGTCCCATTACCAGAAGGTATGATACCCATTGGTTGCAAGTGGATATTTAAGACCAAACGGGATTTTAAAGGTAATGTGGAAAGGTATAAGGCTCGTCTGGTAGCTAAGGGCTATACCCAAAAGGAAGGGATTGATTTTAAAGAGACTTTCTCTCCAGTTTCATTGAAAGACTCTTTTAGGACAATCATGGCTCTTGTAGCACATTATGATTTGGAGCTTCATCAAATGGATGTCAAGACGGCGTTTCTTAATGGCAACATTGATGAGACGATTTATATGGTGCAACCAGAAAATTTTGTGCAGGGAGATTCAAAGAGTATGGTTTGCAAACTGACAAAATCCATTTATGGACTAAAACAAGCATCTCGTCAATGGTACTATAAATTTCATCAAGTAATTCTCTCATTTGGCTTCGAGATGAATATTGTTGATGATTGTGTATATCACAAGTTTAAGGGGAGTAAGTATATTTTCCTGATCTTGTATGTTGATGACATTCTACTTGCCACTAATGATATGGGCATATTGCACGAAATCAAGAAATTTTTATCAAAGAATTTCAAAATGAAAGATCTTGGTGATGCGTCTTTTGTATTAGGAATTCAGATACACCGAGATCGATGTCGGGGTATTTTGGGATTATCACAAAGGAGCTATATCGAAACAATTCTTAAAAGGTTTGACATGCATGAATGTAAATCCGGGGATACTCCAGTTGCTAAGGGAGACAAGTTTAGTCTCAATCAGTGCCCAAAGGGAAATTTGGAAATTGAGGAAATGGAAAAGATTCCCTATGCATTAGCTGTAGGGAGTTTAATGTATGCCCAAGTATGTACGCGTCCAGACATAGCATATATAGTTGGGGTTCTAGGCAGATATTTAAGCAATCCAGGAATGGACCGTTGGAAAGCAGCAAAAAGGGTCATAAGATATTTAAAGAGAACAAAAGATTATATGCTCACATACAGGAGGTCAGACCAGTTGGAGATCGCTGGGTTTTCTGACTCAGATTTTGCAGGATGTCAAGAATTTGTAGCATGCTATGAGGCATCAAATCATGGAATATGGCTGAGAAATTTTGTCACAGGGCTGCAAATTGTGAAAGGCATTGAAAGACCACTTAAGTTATATTGTGATAATAAATCAGCTGTATTGTTAAGGAAAGAGTACAAAGTGGACAGATTTCCATAGAACACTTAAGGACAAACTCCATGATAGCATATCCTCTAACTAAAGGACTTCCGCCCAAGGTCTTTCATGAGCATGTTGCTCACATGGGTGTTTTACAGTTTGAGGAATTTGTGGTTTAGTGGGAGTTAGTCATTTTCATATATTTTATGTTCTATGTTTAATTTTATATATGTATACATTGTTTTTTGGACATATTTGGTTATCTATAGATATGCGGTTTTCTTGTTCATTCATTACACTTTGTACATTAAGGTTATTGTATCGATCTCGATAAGTTAAAGTTTGGACCAGTTGAAAATAGACGTGTACAGATCACCTTCACGTAATTTTTCATGCTACACATTTCATGATGAATCCATGTCATTTGGTTATATTAGGATGAGTAATCATTGTTGGTTTTAATTGCGATGATGCAATGAAAAGCTGGTTTGGTTCTATATCCTGATATGATTAATGGACAGAACTTTTGGAGTATGCTAAAGGAATATAATGGCAATTTTGAGCTCATAAAGTCTAACACATTTGTAAGGTTGTAAGGACATATATATTTGTGACCAGTGGGAGATTGTTGGCAAAATTTGGGTCATGTATATATATGATACATAATTTAAATGTGTTAGGGTCATTATTTATTAAGCCAAATAATAAAGTGATCTGACTAAATTAAAGTTTTGGCTAAAGACATATGTCATGAAAATAAAATTGTGTAGAGACCATTGAAAAATTTCTAATTTGATGAGGGGCCAAATTGGAAATACTAAAACTTAAGTAATTAACCTAATTCTGGTTATTTTAAGGGGTCGTGGTCCCCTTCTGGGAGCACACAGACAGAACGTAGTTACAGTCCCGTTCTTTTCTTTCTATCCCCATCAAGAAAGAAAATCAAGAGGGAAATACATGTGCTCTTCAGGCGGAAGACCTTAAGATCAAATCAAAAGTGCTCTACAAAGAATATCGTCATTATGGTCAATTCAGGTACGCTTTTGCATTTAGTTAATAACATGTTTACAGTATGGATTATAGATATATGTTTGATCATTAGAATGAATATCATATTCAATTACAAACATATTCAATTACAATTTATCCTAGCATTCTCTTCTTGTGAAGGAACATCAAAAGGTCCACACAGATATGAGTAAACAACATGCAGCACATCACTAGCCTTAGACATTATATATGAACCGAAAGAACTCCTTGGTTGCTTACTAATCAGGGAACTATCACATACCTTCTTTAGAATTACAACTAAGAGAAGACCAATTACCATAGCTCATGATTTTAGGAGACTTAAATCCTTAAAATCTAAGTGACCCAATCTCAAGTGTCACAACCATGATTCATTTGATAGCACAACAACAAAGAAAAAAATTGAGACTCAATTGTATGTAAGCTTATCTTAAATATTTGTTCGAAGCCAAATGAACTTTTACAGTCAATCTCTTTGTGGTATCATAAATTTTCAGAAAATTATTAACCATTTTCATTGAAAAATCATTCTCTATTAATTGACCCATGTTGATCAAATTACTCTTCATTTCAAGAACATAAAGTATATATGAAATTATGACATGTCTTCCATCTTGTCTTGTTACAAGCACATTCCTAGTTCCTTAAGTTTGAATGACTCTATTGTGAGCAACTTGTATA